CAAATAAATTTTCAAGCATTGCAATGCCTTTTTATATTTCTTATGAGGTATCTGAATCTAGAAATACTGTCCAAAGGGTAATTTTAATTAGAAATTGGCTTAAAATAAGTTAAATTCCAATTTTCCGGAACCAGGAAACGATTAGAAGATTCCAAGATAATTCTTATAGAACCTATACACTTGAAACGCTTAGAAAGAATTTTAGATTACCGTAAAACCTCTAATAGAACGTCTCCGGGNGGCTCGGCGCAAAGGTTGCTAATTGTTCACCAGTTGTCGGGTTCATAATGACAGCTGTACTGTTGTATCCTTTCTCCAAGCTAATGCACTTGAAACTGCCAACTTTGCAACCATCGTCGCCGATGAAACTACTGTAAAATAGCTCGATGGTGAGAAGCTCAACTCAAACTCACTTAAACACCAATTTCACTCGAGGGAAACTGGAACCCGATGGAAAGAGGTCGTCCTGGTAATCGTTACACGACGCACATGCTGAAAATCAATTAACTACTAACAAATATTCAGAGGACCTATTCATGACCGTATGGTAAACGTTCATGAATACAGCCTCAGATTATCTAAAACTCTTTAAAACAAAAAAAAAACTGACCTAATTGAGCGTCGATTCCTCCAAGGAAGCATAGAAAAGAAGCAAAGATTAGAATCATTTTCATATGGTAACCAGGAAGAAAATATGCTTATATTGGCTTGCTTTTTCCTAAGTATTATTGCTCTTCCCATAATTTATGGCCAAGTTGGTTCTCTTCATGTTTGATCTGTTCATATAACTTTTCTTATAACTTCAAAAAAAAAAAAAAAGATTCAAATTCAATTTAAAAAATACAGGGATTCGAAAACGTTTATTTCTGATTAAATAATTTGAACACTAAATAACTCGAATTCAATTGTAATAAAAATATAGAGATTCTAGTACATTCGACCGGAGACAGTGCTTCCAACCACCGAACTTTGTCCAAATGAGAAGTGTCTGAAAATACAAAATTTTTATTTGTATTAAAGGTTGGGGGACATGAAAAAATAATGTTCTCGAAATTCCGTTTAAATATGCCCCTCGAGGAGTTGAACTTGTCGAGACTAGTATGGACGGTGCGGCGCCGCTACCGACTGAGCCACCCGGGCAAAGAGGCAGCCGGCGCCCGATTGCATTCATAAAGGTGAGGACGACCGCTGTACGCAGAGTGACATTAAGCGTTATACACCGTCACGGTAGAATGCATACCCTAGCTACAAAAATCCTACGAAAAATCTCCTGTCCCCCCACCTTTAAATAATTAAAATTTATAACTTGAACGTATAACGTTTAACGCTATAACGCTATAACGCTATGAGCTATAAGCTATAACGCTATAACGCTATAACGCTATAACGCTATAACGCTATAACGCTATAACGCTATAACGCTATAACGCTATAACGCTATGAGCTATAAGCTAAGAGCTATAAGCTATAAGTTGAGCTACAAGTTTTGAACTGCAAGATATAAGCTAGAAGCTTTAAGCACTATAAGTTACAAGGTATAAGCTATAAGTTACGCTAAAAGTCAAAAACTCACATTTTCGAATTTTTCACATTTTCACATTTTCATTTGAAATTCAAAACTGGTATACTGTACTTTGCAAACGATCCGGGGATAATTAATTTGGCAACTGATTCATGGTATTTTACGACGGAGTTAATGTGTATTAGCTCTTGTTGGTCGTTGTTGTTCAGTAGTAAACGATTGAGAGAGGAGGTGACACCGAAAATGTGAGTTTTTGACTTTTAGCGTAACTTATAGCTTATACCTTGTAACTTATAGTGCTTAAAGCTTCTAGCTTATATCTTGCAGTTCAAAACTTGTAGCTCAACTTATAGCTCATAGCGTTATAGCGTTATAGCGTTATAGCGTGATAGCGTTATAGCGTTATAGCGTTATAGCGTTATAGCGTAAAGTTGACAATTGTCGGTATGCTTTTATTAAAGGAATGACGGTAAGTACGCTTAAAGAGACTCTCAAACCTATACAATCCAAAATCGGTTAACTTTTGTCTGAAATTCAATGGGCTGAAACTGAATGAAAATAAATGGAAATCAAGTTTAAAGCTGAAAATGACTTAAAACTGAAATATCAAGTTAAATAATCAAAATAAAAATACCGTAAAACCTCTAATAGAACGACACCCGGATCG